CATGGTTCTTGAGAGCACGGATGTCTATAGTTAATAATATCACTACGTGATCCTGTTTTGAATCTACAACTGAAGAACATCTGGAACTCAAAACAACTGTCAACCAACACCAAGGCCAGAATTTTCAATACCAATGTCAAGACAGTTCTACTGAATGGGGCGGAAACTCGGAAAACTACTACAACCATCATCCAGAAGATAAAAGTATCTATTAACAGCTGCCTACACAAAATACTTCGGATCCGTTGGAGAGACACTATCAGCAACAACCTACTGTTGGAGAGAACAAACCAGAGCACAGCGAAGGATGAAATCAGGAAGAAGCTCTGGAAGTGGATAGGATACACATTGAAGAAAGTACCTAACTGCGTCACAAGGCAAGCCCTCAATCGGAATCCTCAAGGCCGAAGGAGAAGAGGAAGACCAAAGAACACATTATGTCGAGAAATAGAGACAGACATGAGAAGAATGAACATCGACTGGATAGAACTGGAGAGGAAGGCCTAAGACAGAATGGGTTGAAGAATGACGGTCGGCGGCCTATGCTCCATCGGGAGTAACAGGCAGCTGAACTCTGACTCCATGAGATCAAGTAAGCCGGTGAATGCATATGAAAATTCACGATTAGTTTTATTTCAAGATGTTTATATAAGTTAAATTTTGTATTTAATCCTCTAATTTCCATCTTCCTATCATAACACAAAATGAATGAGATATTAAGCAAGTATGTAAATAATTTACTCAGAGTGTATGTAACTACTTTCAAAAGTTTGAGGATTATATCATGAATTGGATGATTGAAAAGACTGGTATATTATCACAATGGTGTTTCCGATATTGATAGATCACTTTGTTTAACATTCAAATGAAATGGCTTCTAATTTGTTAGAGGTTTATTTCTCGTTGTTATTAGGCTATACAAATGAACTTAGTGTAGAACTACTAAAAGGAAGCGTTTTTCATACAAACATCTACCGTATCACCACAATAATCTATTTTTGTCCCATTAAACAAGTTAACACGTTTAAACAACCCAATGGTTAAGTGTATTAAAATGCAGTCAGCCATTTCTAAACAAACGAGCATTTCAAGCTTGTTATTTATAACACAGGCCATTTTGTTGTGTAACTATTGCAGCTCACAAACCTTTGATGATTTGTAATTCAAAATAAATGAAAAAGGAGTTATATTTAACCAGTCGAAATTGATCAACAGTTTGTATCGTGGTGTCGAGTCCCAGTTGACTACGAACACCACTACAAAGAAACACGTGCCAAATAAATCAGAAGGCGAATGCGGATTGGAACCAAGTTTATTTCGTTGGAGATCTCGTGGTATCGAACGAATACCGAGATCGTGCCAAGAAAAGGTACAAGCGGAATCGGCAGGAGAAAGTACGTGCGAACGGGGTCACGAACCGCGAAACAGTAATGGAGAATAATGGAAGAGCAATATGGCTGTCTTTAGCACAGTTAAGCAAACGAGCACAGTAAAACAATCATTGGTACAATTGGTTATAATAATAATTGTTTTCATTAAATCAGTCGTGTTCTCTTGATAAAAGTAGATCATTACAATTTTATGGTCATAACATTAATTAAGTGTTAACAATGGTGCATTTTGCTCTACCATGATGAATGATATTCAGTTTACAGGAGTAATAATAATGGATTAAGGCCACGGTGAACGCAAAGATAATACAAACTTCGTTTGTACGTGATGTTCATAATTCATCTTATGAACAGCTAAAGCTAATTATGCTTTTAGGCTGTGGTACCAAAAAATCTGGATAGATGTGAAACGGTTATATAGATGACTTTAAAACCAAAAACAAGTTAAGTGCTATGCTTCGAATAAATGCTCATTGGTAGAAGCTCATAACGGTGTTGTTGTCGCATTGCAAAGCCATTATGGAATGTGTATTAGTATCCTTGCTGAATAAAGTATGAAGATCTGCTTTCGAAATTAAATAAAATTTTTACATTTGATCTACGCGCTTATGAAACAATAAACGAAATATTCATCTAAATCAAAGCATCTGAACGCAAGAAGATGAATAAATTGAAGCATATGTGGTAAGAAGATAAACAGATCGTGAGTAATATTATCACCAATGTCAATATACTACTTAAATAGATAAGGGTATAAATAAATGCGAAACGCTCAAGTTACTGTAGGAAGAGAACAAACGGCAAGCACAAGTGAATGAGAATTTAGGATGTCAACGATTGAGCGAAATCGAGATGGGAATAAGAATAAGTTGTGTGAAGATGTGCAAATGAAGCCCTTCTAACGATTATCAACCAGTATATTTTAGGTGAGTAAATGCAACAGCACACGTTTGTCGCGGACCGGTGGTTATTTCGGAGTTTGTTGAAGAGTGCTTGAAAAACAGTCACTCACTGACTCTGGGAGAACTCCCCGGGCACTGGACAGAGAGTGTTGTCCGCCAAGTGCGGGTTCCCCACCCAGTCTCCACGTCATAACTGCGGAGAAGTACTGCACATAGCCCTATGGCTGTATGTGGTGCTGAGCAGAAGGCTTGGTTGGATGGGCGCTAGCCTCAGGTGTACGGTTATTGACCACATCTCACAATGGGGGTCACGGGACGCGACGCCACACATTTTACCAACACAACACCTCAATATCTACACAAATACCTCTATCTGTTTACATCAACTACACTCTCTACCACAGGTACCACATTCTCACTCCACATACACAACACTGACCATTCGACAGACTATCAACAGACGCTCATGATGCGGATTCACTCAGTTCTATTCTTTATGTAATTAGGTCGTCACTTCTCAAACCGAATTACAAATCATTCAATAAGACACATTAGCTAATGCCAATCACTTCGGCTGTTCTTCACACGCTATCGATTCACATCAATATCAGTTCGATTGAGTCTAATCCACTGTGTTGATTAATAAACACCACAACCCGGTGCTTCACATACCACTGCACAACAGGAGATCAAGTTCATTCACCTCTCTCCTATATTTAACATTCAATCTATTAGTTGAAAATTTTCAGTTCATTCTGTTCGATGGTGCTAACTCACAGAACAAGGTATTCAAAAAGTCGGTTGTTAGTGTGCATGGAATTATGGAGTCCAGATACTCGGGTTGTTTTCTGTTACAACACAGATAATCAGTCGTTAACTGTGTATCGATTAAATAACTTTTTGTTTTTTGTTTTCCTTTGTCTTGGCATCGTTCGTTGTTGAGTTTAGTGAAGTGCGACGGATCATTTTGCATTATTTAGTTTTGCTTCAATTTCGAAAATGGAACATGAGTTTGGTGAATTATATGTAGTTATCAGCCAATCACTAATTTATAATCGTTCCCTTAAAAATGATCATTAGGATTCAAAGGTCAAGATAAACGTGAAGTGTAACACAATTTCGAAAATCGGAGGAATTATCCAGAAGACAGATATACGACTATAAATTCATAAGCCTTAAATTTCGATGTATTCTGCTTTTCGATAAATCGTTAGAAGCACATGAAAGTGGAAAGTACATATTTCAAGTAACTGAGTAATAATTATGCTAGACTATGAATAGAAGCAAAACTAGTCTATCTAAATATGGGCATTAAGAAAAGCATTCAAAGTGTTTTACCCAAGGTTGCTTTTATGGAGTGCAGCGGTAAATAAATCCTCAAAACCTATTGAACTGTAAGTCTTCGACATTTTGTGCTGACCTCATTAATTCTACTGGTCTCACCTAGCTGAAGGCACACGATTACGCATCCGCATCAGATCACGAGTGGGTACACCTCGCTACACCTCTCTTTCAACTGCTAGCCAGCTTAAACCAGACGTTCAAATGACATACCGATAGCCTCCCAAATATATCATCGATCCCCTTCATTCCTGACCTCTGACTTGACTGAGTTGACACACTTCGATTATAAAGGTGTTACTGGCCAGGACTTTGTCAAACTCTGAATACTTGTGGCACATTTAGGTGTATTAAGTGGTTGGATGAACTTGGCAGTGAGCCCTGCTGACCTAGTATTCCTACCAATTGGTACTCATCAGTAAAGCTTATCTAAAGACACAAAGGGACTGGTTTTCCACATGGAACGTAGTGCCCACGTCATTAATGCTTGTGAATACTCTACCGACCAGGGTACCACAGAATGTACGATACGACTCTGTCAAATGTGAATATCAGAAATGTTAACGTAAAGGAATGACGCGTCGTTCCTAAGAATAGACAAAACTGCCGAGACAAATCAAGTTATGAAAAGTAGAAATAGAAAGGGATCGAGAAAAAAATAGGAGTTCAAAAATGTGAAAACAAGATGTAGTTCAAGTATCAGAACACAAAGTTATGAAACTAGATGCCAAGTTAGAGGCCTGTAAATAGTCTATTGTAACTCAAACTACTTACTACGAGCAAGTAGTATCGTTTGAATGCATAAAAGTCGACCAAAGAAGGAATAAAGTCTAGTGTATTTATAGGTGGACAGTACCCATAGGCTTTCTATAAGCATGCAAGAAAAATTTCATCCTTAAATAAATCTGAACAAAGCTTGCGATAGGAATCTATCGACCGAACTGTTTATCAATTCGCCCTGGAATCGTGACGTAATTAGGATTAGTACATGTACTATGCTAAAGACATAAACGCTTAATTGGTTATCTTACAATTGAATAGATCCGTTTTGTGCTTATGATTAGAATTCATTGCTAATTATAATTTGACAACCAGTCTGTGGGAATTGTACAGGTATTCAAACGATCATGTAGAATGAACACTGTTCTGACAAGTGCATTACAGATTTCGACTGTCATCATGTTTCAAAAAAAAACAATGTGATCTTATCATATTTTCTATTATTTCCTCATCTATTTTTAAGCTGAGTAAATCTTTCAGAAAACCAATGGAAATCTTTCACAATATCTTATTTGTTTATCTATGTAATATCTACTATTAACGATAGAACAACAGTATCAATATCAATAACAATAAATCACATTCATATCAAAATTCTACTGTAAAATAATCGTGTTTATAGAGAAAAATACAAAAGAATTAAAAAAAACTGTCATGAATTTCAAGAATTCTTTACTGAAATTGGCATAGAAATCACTTTCGTTTGCAAGTAACCATCCAGTGCTTCTTTCCCACTGAAATAATGAGGAAAAGAATGAGTAATATCATGTAGTAATGTTGAAATGGTTCATGTTTCCAGTCTCATTTAATCAGTGATACAATGCCAACATCATACAATGTCATCTGTAGGTATCTACCACATAATCTAGATAGCTGATTTCACGATCTACAGTTCCTCACTAAAACTCAGCGATATTCATCTCAAAATTATTCATTGATGACTGACTTGAAGGTCGTTCGTGTGACTGTATGTATGATCAGTTGAAAAGTCCTAAGCTATGACGAAAGAGCCACACAGTGCTTTAGCATTTTCATTCGTTCCCTATTTAATGTCAACTAGTGAGTAGAACTATCAAGCTAGACAAATATTCACACTCATTTAACAATGTGCCCATTAATAGAATACGTTAAATTATTTATGGTCCTAGTTGACAGTGGTACTTTTATGATGGATGACACAGTAGGAAAAACCAATCACAGTTCAAATCAATTATGGTCTTACCGAAATCGGGAGCATTCTTAATCTACTAGTCTAACTGAATTCTACTTTCAGATAAACAATTCATTTTTTATGTAAATGGTTACAGTAAATGATTACAGTTTTTATCGATGTTTATCACTGAAGAGCATTTACGAATGAACAAGTTCTAAACGTTTCTCTAGATAATTTTGGTTAGAAAAATAAGTAGTTGTAATGATCTGATTTAGTTACTGTAGGCTTGAATACTTGACCATCGAGATTATGTTATCCAACTCATGCAGGCCAGTGAAATAGTCATCAAATTTGTAAAACAGTTAATCTCGCAACATGAAAATTAATTAATAATTGCAGGTTTACGAAAGGAATCATATTGGTGGTTGTGCAGAAATGTACATGCAATATACTAGTTTCTATGCATTAAGTGGATATCCTGTTGTAGCGCATTTTCACTGTCGAACATGGCCGGATATTGGAAACAACTAAAATTATGATAACGTACTAAAACATATACATGCGAAATTTATTCATCATAATACTCACAGTTCACGTCCTATTCCAGACATTTTATAACCACCAAAAGGAGTTTGAGGAGAAATGAGATTATAACTATTGATCCTATGACATGAAAGTGAATAATTCAAACAAACATTGTGTTAAGGGCTTAGTCGCACGTATAATACAATAATAATAAATTATGGAACAACAGTTTGTCAAAATACAGTAAAACTCAGTCTGTAGCTCTTCTAGGGATACTGAATGTCTAAAGCTAATACCAATAACTTCGGCTGTTCTTCATACGCTATCGATTCACATCAATATCAGTTCGATTGAGTCGAATCCACTGTGTTGATTAATAAACACCACAACCCTGTGTTTCACATACCACTGCACAACAGGAGATCAAGTTCATTCACCTCTCTCCTATATTTAACATTCAATCTATTAGTTGAAAATTTTCAGTTCATTCTGTTCGATGGTGCTAACTCACAGAACAAGGTGTTCAAAAAGTCGGTTGTTAGTGTGCATGGAATTATGGAGTCCAGATACTCGGGTTGTTTTCTGTTACAACACAGATAATCAGTCGTTAACTGTGTATCGATTAAATAACTTTTTGTTTTTTGTTTTCCTTTGTCTTGGCATCGTTCGTTGTTGAGTTTAGCGGAATGCGACGAAGTGTCCAGGAAAGCACCTGACAATCCTAATGCGAGATCTAAATGCCGAAGTCGGAATGGAGAACAACGTTTATGAAGAAACTACTGTGCAGGCAATGGGAAAGTGATCAATTAAACACTAATTCCAACGTGTCATGAGGTGCCGGACCCCAACAAGCATCATGATATTGAATGGATCTCTATCGAAACCCTATGCAAGATCCAACAATGTGAGCAAAAGAAGAAAGTATTTAACAACAGGCGAAAATTAATAGAGAAAGCTGAATAAACTGGCGCAAACAACCAAGTGAAGAGGAGCATTAAATCCAACTAGCAGAAATACGTGGAAGACCTAACAACGACAGTGGAGAAAGCTGCAAGAGAAGGAATTATGAAACAATTATATGACACAACGAAGAAACTGACAGGGTAATGTGGTAAACCGGAGAGACCGATCAAGGACAAAAAATGCAAGACGATCACCGAGATTCAAGAACAGGGGGGGAGATGGGTAGAACAATTTAAAGAATTCTTGAACAGGCCAACTCCACTGAACTCACCGGACATCGAAGCAGCACACTCAGACACGCCTATAGATGTCACTCCATCAACAATCGAAGAAATCAGGATGGCCATTAGACAAATGAAGAGTGGGAAAGCAGCACGACCTGACAGTATACCACTCGAAGCTCTGAAGTCAGATATGGAAGTAACTGCAAAAATACTCCACACCCTATTCGGGAAGATTCGATAGGAAGAAAAAGTGTCACCGACGGACTGGAAAGAAAGACACCTCATTAAGAAACCAAAGAAAGGATATTTGAGCGAATGCAAGAGCTACAGATGCATCACACTACTGTCAGTACCAGGGAAGGTTTTCAACAGAGTGTTACTGAACTAGATGAAAAACTCAATAGACGCCCAACTTCAAGATAAACAAACTAGATTCCGTAAGGATCAATTGTACACAGAATTATTTTAGATTTCTAGTTGATTCATGTGAACTACTGTATGTCCAATACAAATAGTTCATCTCTGTTCATTGCAGCTCTACTTCATTTTCTCACTTAACCAATGTGTTGAACAAGATTATTTATTAATATCCGAATATTTCAGATCATATTTAATTGTTTGAAAAACAATAAGTCCTTTTTGTGGATTGTATTGTGTTATTTAAATGGTTACTATTGTAATACGTTTATCCACAACCTTTGAATAACTTCCTGTTGCAATACATTTGTTTATATTAACATGATGTTTATTATTTATATATTTATTACTACAATAATGTTCTATTACTATCATATCATATATTTACATACTAAGTATAATCTATTTAATAATTGTCACTGACTCAGAAATTGCCTCGACTGGTTCAGTATTTCTCATATATGCACATAATTAGATGCAGGTACATTCAGCTGATGCGTTCCAAATGAGACGAAACGCGCGTCCTGGATTCCACTGCTAGCCACTATCCATCTTTACTTATCAGGCTTGTGAATTAAGGCAATATCGAGGCAATACGCATAGTATGCACATATACCAATAACAGACTTATCAATTGCAGTCTTAAAAACCTCAATGGGAAGGTTCAAGCAAACAATACCAAGTGAATTTATGTATATGATTATTCCTGTATAATTAAGTCCGATGGAGAATTAATTGGAAACAATATTGTTCCTTTATATCTTTTTTATTAATTTACACAATGAGGATTTTTCTTTTGTTATTGACTTCAACTCATACTCATCTTACTCATTAGACAAGCACGAACTAACAAGTGCATATCAATAACTCAAATACATATTTTTCAGTGTGACATAAGCTTACCAAAAACTTCCAGCTTCTACACATTGAGCAATTCTCATTGCTTTATCCATATCACTTGTGAATACACCAGCACCTAATCCGTAATGTGTGGCATTTGCACGTTCAATTACTTCTTCCAATGTATTAAATTTCAATATACATTGAACTGGACCGAAAATCTCTTCTTTTGCTATACACATTTCATCAGACACATCTGCAAACACTGTTGGTTGAATAAAATAACCTTTTTTTCCAATTCGACATCCTCCAGTGACTAGTCGAGCACCTTGTTTTTTGCCTTTTTCAATATATGACATGATTTTTTCAAATTGTACATTGTCAATCTTTTTCAGATTGAAATCGAAGAAAAGAAAGTTTCACATTGATTAAGCATGTCTTAGTAAATAAAAACTATTTTATTTATACGAATTCACATCAAACATTCGATCAAGTTATTAATATTAGATTATGTCAAAGACAACAACATGAAGAAAATGTTTCCATATAAATGGAAGACAACTAGTCCCATCACGAGACAAGCACCAACTTGGAATGTTGAGGATAAACGAAAAAGAGGAAGGCTAAAGAACACACTACATCGGGGATTGGAAGAAGACATGAAGAGGATGAGTAGGAACTGGAAAGGATTGTCCAGGACAGAGTTGGATGGAGAATGCTGGTAGGTGGTTTATGCTCCTCCATGAGGATTAACAGGCGTAATATATATATATATATATATATATATATATAAAGAACTAAAATCAAAATTATTCAGACTTAGGTTATCTGATTTAAGACAAGGAATAAATCGAGATTCATTTCAGTGGTTTTTTAACACTGCATAATTTTTAAGTGAATACTTATGTATTGATGGAGACTGGAAAGTTTCTGAAAGAGAATGAGACACTTATATGGGCTAGTTTAAGACTATCAGCATAGGGTTGTGAAGATTATTAAGTTTTTGATTAATATCATGAACCGATTGATGCTGGACCACCATTGAAAACCTGGAAGCACTGGACAGCTGTTTCGCCCCATTGTGGGACTCTTCAGCAGTGCGCATCCACGATCCCGCTCGCGGCCCTGGGTTCGAACCCCGAAGACTCCCAAAGAGTGCATACTCACATCTCTATACGCGAGCTAACTCATGGCATTTAAGTTATCCATTGACTACAAGCGAAGTGAGGTCAGTATCCTTCAATTTATAGGAAATCTCAACAAGGCCACTTAATACAATCATAACCGTACAATGATTAGTGGACTAGGTACAAGATATATCTACTAAAGTTCTGTCTGGAAGAAATGATCTAAGTAGTAAGACACAAGAATAATACAATATGAAGATCAAACTGTAACACAAATTAATTGAAGCTGACAATGTGAACCATTATACATTTGTATGATGATCTGAAGGCATCACGCTTGTTTTTAGACCTAAACACCTAGGCTACATCTTATCTGGAGCTTTTGGAATCCACTGCTAAAGAGTAACCAAACGAAAAAATGATCATTCCAACATTTCAAATACACTTTGTAGCAATAAAAGCTTAAAATAAGACTTAATATTGGTCTCCTCCACAAATGACTCCAAAAGTCACTTATAAAAGTAGTTCATGTTTTTGTCAATTCAGTGATATTGCCTCACCAATCTACTACTATTATGGAAAATGACGTTTAAAATAGTACTTTTAAGGACTTTTATTTTGCCGTTGATAGGTAGATGTAGTCAGTTGAAACTGTCTATTATTGCACTGGTGGCTACTATGCAATTTTAATACTTTCAGAACAGTGCGCCGAGAGAAACAAATGAACATTTTCATGGGAAATAGTTCCAAACTTATCGGTAGTAATTATATACCAACACAAGACAGCAACCAAACAGTAACCGATTACCTGTGGACCTTGTATAGTACCAGATACGAAAGGATCACCAACTTTACGTTGCTCAGCTAGCCTTTTCAGTTTCTCAACCATCTGATCGTATATAGGAGCTTGTACAAATACACGAGTACCAGCCACACAACACTGTCCATGGTTAACCATTGTAGCTTCATGTGCAACTTCTGCAGCTTTCTCAACTGAACAATCAAAAATAGACAAAGAGGCAACATAGATTTATTTTAAGGTATGTTAAATAAAAAAGAAACTAGTGAATATTACCATTGACAAGGTATATATGAAGATTTTTAAATGTGGTATACCAATCACATACAGGTCATATATATTTATCCATTCAAAACCATTTATACAAAAATATTCGACATATATACTAGCAACAGTAAATTATATTAACTTCATAAGTATTCAAACATTTAATCTCCAGTGATCACAAAATATAACGATGATAATGAAAAGAAAAAGAAGTCAAATCGAGAGATACTCTGAAAGTATAAGCACGTTTAAATATATCGGTAAACAATTCTTGTAATAGAGATCTTGAACCAATTGATGTTAGACCACCATTAAAAACCTGGAAGCACTGGACGGCCGTTTCGTTCTATTAGGGGACTCCTCAGCAGTGCGCATCCACGATCAATCGGTTCAAAATCTCGATCAATAAGTTAATAATCTCCACAACCCTATACTGATAATTCTTGGAATAATCAAAGGGCATTAGCAACTAAGTTGTTGTTATTACTAGGCAGCTTCATATTCTATTATAATGGGACATCAAATGATTTAATCTAGTGATTCTGGTAAAATTCAGTCAGTATCAAACGTTCACGCAACATAACATAATATAAATCACATACACTAAATCTAAATGATACATAAACTAAAGATAAATTTTCATTTTCGAGGGCCGTCCAGTGTTTTCAAGTTTTCCATGGTGGTCTAGCTTCATGATCTCAACTATTAAAACAATCTAAATTTGTTTGTAAGTTGAGCAATCCAAGGCTACAAAAACTAATTTGATTAAAAAAAACCTATTGATACATGAATAATACATGTTAAATGAATGAATATTGTTGAATTCAATGGAATTTTATCACAGACAACACATTAAGGTCTACAATTCATCTAGGTGTTCCTTTATTTAGGGTCAAATGTTGGAACAAAAAAAATTAAAATTAAAATGAACTAATAGGGTGAAAGCTATTTTAAATTACCGATTCATAAAGACTATCTACTTCAAACGATTTTGAACCATGTCACTTTATATCTTATGACATACATTAGCGTTACGTTACGAACCGTAACCACCAAGTTCTCACCTCTTAGATTGCCTCAGACCAATAATTAGCAACTACACAGATTAATTCCTGACATTATGCAACCTATTTCTAGACTATCTAGCACCGCCAGTCAGTAGCTGGACCTGTTCCAAAAGTCGTAAATTTGATATCAGTATTGAAATATATATACAATGCAGGAAATTCACCAGTATAAGAACGGGAGTGAAATGTTCGGTATCATATCTGAAGACTGCGTACCATCTTTTATGGCATTCAAGAAATTACCCTTACATGAATGTAAAATGTTCCTGAAAAGAATTTTCAGAAAATAACGTCCCGGTTACAGCTCTTTAGTAATGGCACTTCCAATTATGGTAAAAAGATACAACAAAAATTTTAAACACATACTATCAGCATCAGCTAATATGATCAGTGGTGATTTGCCGCCAAGTTCTAATTTCACATGTTTAATATTCGTAGCCGCAGCTTTCATTATCAACTGACCAACTTCAGTACTACCGGTGAATGAGATAGCTCTAACATCCGGATGATGAGTTAACGCCTCACCAGTAGTTTCACCATATCCACAGATAACATTAAATACTCCAGGTGGGAAACCTAAATAACAAAATAATTGTTAATTATTTCTGGAAGACACTTATTCTGCCACTGAAAATATCAAATAAATTACAACAGTAGAACAAATACAAAGGTGAAACATATGACAAGTCGATTTACGTAGAATTAAACTCGGAATCAAAATAGACTCGATGAAATTTAGTCACGTTAGTACAAAATCATTTGTACAAGTTAAGTATAAAGGGATTCAAACTTGTAAATCAACAGTTATTTCTAAATGTATCGTGAATATTCATTTGTATCTCAGTTAAATGAGGTCCTTTTTCTGTTCGAATATACGTAGGCCACAGTTATTGATGGTTGATATCAGTTACGATACCATATGAAAGAAACTAAAATCAAAGAAGTCAAACGCTGATTAAAACCTGTATCCCAGGAGTTTTAAAAACGTTAACCTTCCAGTCAAATAATAACAATTAGTTAGTAATTTAACTCAGTTCAATCACGTATTGCAGAAATAACACAAAGAACATATTAATTGTTTCTTGGCCGATTTTGCAAGTCATTTATCCATAGACATCATTTGTATTTTAAAATGGAATATTAACGGTATATGTATATGTTTACCTGCCTCTTTGGTTAAAGCAGCTAAATACAATGCGGATAATGGTGTTTGTTCTGCGGGTTTCAATACAACTGTGCAACCAGCGCATAAACATGGAGTACATTTGAGAACGCTCAACAAAAACGGATAGTTCCACGGTGTGATACAAGCAACAACTCCAAGTGGTTCACGGCGAGTAAACGTAATCATATTCCCGTCAACTGGTAACTGTTTACCATGAATCTTATCAGCGTATCCAGCATAATACCGAGTTGTTTGCGCTGCAAATAAGACATCATCCAATGCTAAGTCTACAGTCTTCCCATTATCCATTGCTTCCAAACGCTAAAATGAAAAGGAAAAGAAATGATGATAGACGTACAAACATCAAATTGATGTTGGTGAAATTATGAATTCTAAGCGCAACATACTATTTTCATTATTGAACAAACTAATATATTATGACAAAGAAATGGATGGAAATTTCCACAAATTTTAAGGTTCCACAAAGGGAATACTAAACTAATTCGGAAAAGTAGAACCTTCAAGCTAAAATAAACATTAAAGAGAAGAGAGTATTAAAGTGAGCTATCGTTTTCGATAACTTTCCCGTTAGGCTCTGCAGTGATAAATTCAAAATTATTACTGCATTAAGTAAACAAATATTGAAGTTGGATTGGTTTACGGAATAAATTGAGAATGAAAAATTCCACGTCGATTGAGTTTTAAATAATACTGGGTGACCACCAACCTTCCCTGAGAGTGCTTATACTTACGTGCATTCCATGAAGTGCATGAGCAAGTTTTTGTACCGTAAATGTGCATGTAATGCGTAGAAGACAGTCAGTCGTAGCAAATACGTTCGAAGAGAGCGGTAACCACCTACCATCCCAGGTAGATGAACATAATTTTATCTATACTATGAGATGCATAAATGAAAACTTGTGTGTTATTGGTGTGCATGTAACACATATTAAGCCTTAGTGCGACGTCCATGCACCCTTGTAATCACATCCACGCAGTGGGTTTGTAAGTCCTGAATACACGGATATCATATCCAGGAAAGCCTTGTCAGATTCACAAGGTAAGTCTTTACCAACTTTAAATGAATGGAACACCACCGTCAAGTGACGTCCCTTCTACTTTCATTACTGTCGTAGGGGACGATTTAACTATAAGGTAGAAAATTTCGAAGCTAATTTTCTAGTTTTATTTATAATTAGGTTGCAATTTTACCAATTATTTCTGTTTTTATTATTTTCTTATTACCCTAGTTCTAATCTTTTATTTGAACCGTAGTTTGTTGCTATAGCATATTTCATTCATAAACTAGACCCAATTATTTGTGTACCCAGTATTCCGTCTTCCCATCATTAATGTTACCGTTCCGTGTTAATACTGTTACCCAGTTGATTTACTGTGTGGTCTGGTCATGTATATAAATGAATGACTGAAATACAATGATGATTTGGTCTGGTGAACATTGGTATTGCGTTCTTCCTCTTCGTTCGGGGCAAGTTAGTGTTGGATTAATCGTCAGGAGTAAAGTATCAGTCTTCCAAGTCGTTGCTGGGTATTGGTTGCTTAAGGTCATCTACGCGTATTGGTTGGTTGTAGGATGATGTAACAATTACGATTTGCACTCCCAAGAAACTGTTTCTTATCCCGAATTCATCTTTATTATTTTAGATTATATTTATCTTCGATGTTATTATTATCACAATAGCTATAACATAATTGGTTTTTTAAATATACAATCCAACTTATTAGTTAGAACTCATCATCTTCACTACGACATATGATTCTCCTCATCCTTTTTTGTTTGATCTTTTCTTAACATTACCATTTAAGTTATTTGGTTTTGTTATTAATTTGTACAATATAAGAAACAACCGGCGTGAAGTTTGCTGTTTCTAATGGATTAACAAAAAAAATGATAATCTTGGATTTATAACCGTAAAGTCTGATGGAAGATTTATCGTAAAAGATCGTTCACTTCAAGACTTTCTGATCTCGAATATTCTATGGAAATTAGTAAATTCTTAATATCAATATGACACAAGACCAAAAAAAATGCTTCTAAATATTTATCACGTAAATTGCTGAAGTAAGCTGAATTCTTTCCTTAGTTTAAATCTAACTGTAGATTCACCTGTACAGAGCAAGTTTTATCAGAAAAATGGATACTCCATGTTTTTCCAAACTGATGATGATGATGATGTAACGTATTCATCAATTACAGATTCATGTACACGGTGCTCTAAGTCAAAATTTATGATTGAAGGCTAGTAATAACAACCGGCTGTCCGAGCAGAAGTAGGTGACACAGGACTCGAATCTGAGACTGAATAGACGTCTTAGCCACCAGTTCGAACCCATATGGACAGATAAGAAACAACTTACAGCTATATATTCAGCATTCATTTTGATAAGATCAGCCAATTTATGTAACAAAACACCACGTTCTGAAGCATCCATGGTACGCCACGTAGATCCTGTTTTGAAGGCTGCCTTAGCAGATTCAACTGCTTTGTTTACATCATTCTGATCAGCTTCTTGAACATGACATATCACATCCTCTGTTGTTGGATTAATAGTTGGAAATGTTTTTTTCGATTTGCTATCGACAAATTCATTACCAATGAATAACTAAAATATAGCATGTCGAATATAAAGTATGTCAAAAGATGTAATTATATTTACAACTGGCTAGATTTCTTTAAAAGTAATAAAATTTAAAATTATAAAAGTTAAGCAGGTAAATCCTAGTTAAGCAAACACAGTTGCTGAGCCTTATTAAACGTTAAATCTTTCCAAACTCGCTACTAATTATGAGCTTATCAAGCATCTGTATTAAAATAGAAATCACCATGCAACAAAGATATGAGTTACATTGGTAAGTACACTAAGTTATACTGTACAATATGCGCAACTTTTCGAGGTAAACAAACTTGGTAATATACATATAATTCGATTTGTCGGACAACAAACGTTAGTACTGTATAAAGGCTCTATAATTTAGACATTAATAGGAGTTGTTAAGCAGCCCTTTCCAATATCGATTAAGCATCGTCATGAAAACAATCAACAGCCACGTTCAACTGAACTTTCTAGTCATTTGATTTCATTAGACAATTACGAATTTATGTCACTTCAGATTTCTAAAGAATACTTAGAATTCTGGAAGTTGTTCTATTCGAACAATCAACACTAAGGAAATAATTCGTGAATCGAAAGATTTTGAACAATAAGTTATTCATGAGTTCACTTATAATACAGTATCCGTACTCTCACATTCTATTTATGAAAAGGACAATTTTTTTTAAAAACCAACAAAGTGGGATTAGTTAACTTGTGAATAGCAAGTGAGTCAATGTGACATCTAAAAGTCATGATCTAAATGATGCATGCAATTTACAATCCAAGTTAAGTAACTTCCTAGGAAACGTTCAAGATGGATTTTTTTGATTGAAATTATAAACTGATTGATGTTAGACCACCATTGAAAACCTGGAAGCACTAGATGGCCGTATTGTTCTATTGTGGGACTCCTCAGCAGTGCGCATCCACGATCCCCCTCGCGGGATTCGAACTCAGAGCCTTCAGCCTTGCGCGCGAACGCCTAACCTCTAAACAAATAAGTCGGTATCCAGCGGTGTTAATGTCTAACCTCAACCAATTCGCGAAATTGCTGAGGAGTCCCACAATAGGACGAAACGGTCATCTAGTGCTTCCAGATTTTCAATCATGGTCTAACATCACTCAGTTCATGTTCTCAATCAAAAATTTAATAATTTCCACAACCCTATACTGATCAGATGGATTTACCTATCACAATAGCCTTCGAATCAAGTAAAATTATTTGTAGAAATTTAGTTAGTTTTTATATAAATTTAAACTTGAAAAATTTAACAGAATGTGAAAGTAACAACTCCATACCGAATGATAATAAGATGTACTGACTGGACAAATTAAATACTTACTTGAGTATACTTAACTTCAGGAAGACAAAATGTCTTTGTCATACTTTCCAAAAATCGCCCTAACCAAATGAATTTACTAAGATTTAAATACTTGTTAACAGACATGAATGATCAATGAAGGTCATAACTTTTGTTTTAGATCTGATTGGTTGAAAGTTGTAATCTGTTAAAATTATACATATGTTTATCGATCAGCTTCATTCTAATAACGTTAATTTACACAACTCAATAATGGTATTGTATTTTCTGAATTTCTCGTTGCTTATTCTCATTATGAAGTAATTTCACGTATAAGAATATGTCTAACTTATGTATAGATCTTATCCATCTAAATGATAAAATTCCAGCATATACATTCTAATTGATTAAGTTATCCTGTAAATTGGTAAAATAACCGTAAAAATTTCTTGACTCTCCTTAATGCGGATACAAATAATCTCATATTCAAACAACTTGTAATGAGTGAATACATTTTGGCAACTGAAAGCTATCACTTGGGGAGAATGAGTTTAATAAGTCTAGTATGTTCAAAAATAAACGTAAATTTACTTATTATTGAAATAAGCATATTCTGTCAGTTTTAAAGTGTTAATGTTAGAAGTTACAATGATGGTATATGGTTAGAGTAATCAAATACCTTTTAATCATGAAATTACTCTTGATTATACCCTTGATCACATCAAGTAAGCGTAGGTACTATTGTGGTGTGGACTACTTAAATCCACATAAGTAGTATTTAACGGTGGTCAGACATAGAATGTATTTCAGTAGAAGGTCGATAAGGAAAAAACGGAAACAGAGCGTAATTAGTATAAAAATGCATGAACAATAAAATCTGAAACAATGGACTGATATTTGTAAAAGGAACAGTCAAGTTTCAGACGATGAATTGATATTTTGCAAATTAACTATTTACTATATGGTTCTCATATTTCAGTCAGATGCTCTGTAATTTCATGTCAAATACATTCGATTGTCCCCACTCGTGTTCTTGTTCACTACACTATCAGTGTCGGGACCAAGTATTTCTTGAAATTACTTTAAACACTATGTCACATTCACCATGTAGCTGTACAGAATATACGTTTGACTATTTTAAGCATTTCAGGAACTAATAATAGACAATTTTTACTTATTTTTAAAATATATATATATAAAATACATGCTGTCCTTCACCGAATTTCGAACTTTGAAGTCCAATGGACGTCATCTTAATTGTGATTGGGCTGTAGCGGTAAATAAATCCCCAAAATCAACAGCTCTATAAGTCTTCAAAATTTGATGCTGACCACATTAACTGTAATGGACTCACCTAGCTGAAACAGCTCAGTCACGCATCCGCACCAGATCACGAGAGGAAACGTCGTGCTCAACTTCTCCTACAATCGCTAGCCGGTTTAGATCAGTCACTTCTCGATATATTGATAACCTATCAAATATATCTTCAAACCTCCTCGCTTCTAACTTTTGATTTCGCTGGAGGACGTTTCAATTATAGATGTTTCTGGTTACAGTGTTGTCAGCTATAAATATCTGTGGTATATTCAGGGCCCTAAAATTCGTCGGTATGATATGATCTTACCACAGCAGCTATTTTTCGTCTCAACCTAAATCTATGAATACAGAGAGAACTTTTGGTTCACCTCATGCTACCACGGTTCATGGCTATCTTTCTTTCCTTATTTCCTCTGTCTAATTTTTAATAGTCACAATTCGATTTTGTTTGTTAAATATACGACCATTCTGAACATTCCTCATCCTTGCTATTAACTTATTTAGTCGTAGTAACACCATTTTTTATTTTAGCAGTTTTTATTCTTAATTTTCGATTATAACTCTTGTAATGTTTACAATATTGACTAAAATGTATCCATCTAAGTAACTGCGCTTTCTCAAACAATCGGACCGGATATTTGCGAATAATAATGTAGAGGTGCTTTTAAGAAAGAAAAATATGTATTTGTAAAATATCTGCGAATGAATTTGAAGTAAATCCAACGTTTCGCCTGGCAATCTGGTCTAATCTTTCTCAAGAAAATAACGTTGGATTTACCTCAGATTCATTCGCTGATATTTTACAAATACATATTCTTCCTCTTTAATGTCTCACAGCAACTCGATGCCAAAATACTGTGAAACTGTTCGATCAAATTTAGACGAAAGTTCTTATGTACAGGTGTTTCTTGTTATTTGAAAAAGGTATCAACAATAAACGAAATACTATTTTCTTGAGTACCATAGTCTATAGTCAACTAGATAGTTGATACGTAATTTCACTGTCGATTATACACCATTGTGTTATGTCCCGACAAGAATAATGAATGGTAACTTTTGGGATCCATTTACGGACCAATACCAAACGTATATTCCTATTGTATAATTATTAAGTAACTAAACTATGCATATTCATATTCCTGTTATTATAAACTTTGTGTTGACCCATAAACTATTATTATACGTTTTACTACTCTTGAGTTGTACCCAGTATATTAATTACTACCTCCCTCATTCACAGCCACATCTGGCTAATTCTTGTACAAATGTTGTTTCATATTTTATTGGTACGTTGTGGTCTGTTTGATTGATATATAAATTCAGTATATTTGAAATATAATGATCCATATCGCAGAGGCTCGGATTGGTGTTCTGGACTTAACTGACTGAGCTAGGCAGGAAGCAGGACCAACCAAGACTCTAGGCTGGTCAAACGGGTTTACGCGTCATTGATCCGATTGATAAGTCACTGCCCTCTAATCTGTGGTCACAAGATATAACACGCTGACCCAGTATATATTTACGATAGGAAAAGTTATATGTGTATTTAATATTTTTGTCAGTTATGAACCTGGGAACAATATGGTTCAATGTATAAAGTAGATGACAAAGGGTTCCCTTATACGTACACATGTGTTTTATCTAACACAATGTTAATAGCAATTGTACTGTAATTACGCAATAAGATAAAATGATTATCTTAATTTTTTATATAATCTCATAATGACAATACAAATGTTTATAACAATTAGTCCCTTTTGATAAATTTCAACAGTGTAATAAGATGATTATTAGAACTATGTGATATATAATAATAAGCTAATATTACCAGAGTACGTTTAAGGTAAGAACAAGCTGTTTTTGAATACACAGAAGGGCTATAAATTTTCGTATGGATAAGGCTTCAATAAACCTTAGTATACACCCTTTTACACTTTTGTGCAACACCACAAAAGCCGAGTTAAGATCAATCGTATGGCCTGTTTCGATTATATGTTTTGCAACAGAGGATGATAGATGTTTATCATCTACTCTTATTGGGTCATTTGATTCTATTTGTTTCACATAGTTCTGGTAATATTCGTCTTCTTATTACAAATGTTTATAATAGTTTAAATATTAAACATTGCAGTTGATTAATTCTTTACTGTCTACCTTAAGACATAGTTTTTCTTTAAGTCTTTAGGCGAGACAATAATTTATGGACGAACCAATCGGATATGAGATAACAGGTCTCGGATTTTGGCACGAAATTCACCCATACATTTGGCTAAATCGAGTTTTGGCATTATAGCTGATGTCAGTTCGTGATGAAAACCCTAAATCTAATTCCTAACACTAACCATCAACTGTAAGTCATAATTCCAATTCGTTACAATGGTTTAAAATCCTCATTTAATCCTAGTCAATAGGTGAACACTCTCAAGGTCACTTTAGCGTCGCTCAATGGTCGTCCACAAATTATAGTCTCACCAGTCTTTGGATAAACTTATTAATGACTTATGGTATACTTCAGAGTTGTGTATTATTCCAACCGGAAATCATTTTTAAAATGATTTCAATTACCTGTTAAACATGCTAAATGGATACGAAAAGATTCTTTATTTCGATAACTAATCAAAAATGTAGATATTATCAAGTAGGATTACACAGATTAAGTCTGATATATGATGATCTTTTCTCAATAAGACTTTCAGATGTAATTGAAGTCAACTGTATGAATTGAAATTTAGATGTACTTAATTTTAATTGCATCATAAAATACCTGAATTTATCAGCTTAGTAAGCATGATATTTTTTTAAAAAATTGTTATTTAAGCTAATGTGTACTGTTATTACGGAGATCAGTGGTTACTAAATAATTTCAATAGTTAATATATGTTAATAAATGTATTATTACTGAGGGCTCCCATAATAGGATTAAACGGCCGTCCAATGCTTTCAAGTTTTCCATGGTGGTCTAGCTTTAATTTACTCATGATCTCAACTATTGATATTACTGACATTTTTGTTCAAGTTATTCACCAGGGCTGAATGACAATTTTTTGAGTGTTAGTTCAGTTGACCTTAACCATTGAAATATTGTTGGGTTTTTTGTTATTGTTGTAATAGTTAGCTGACCTCATGACATAATTTTCATCATTTCAAAAAATAATGCAACATTAATGATAAATGAAACTTAATCTATTTCATATGAAAAGCTTAAGTTGCTAACATTTAAAATTTACGATCAACTTTAATATGACGCCATATAGGCCAAGAAATAATGTACAAATGACATTAATTAGTAAGTGCAATGATAGATTGTAATAATCTTATGACTTGTTTAAACATGATTTTATCATTCTTAGGAAGTACGTGATTATCTATGCTAAACTACTCTTATGATTTATGTAACATTTTATACAAGTCAACAGTTTACTTATTTTAAAATTGTCATCATCTAATGTCATCAGTCTAGCGTCAGTACAGTATGAACAATTTCTCACATTAATTGAATTTTCCTTTACACAATTTTCCCGACTGATATATTGTTATAAGCCAGGAACAACGAGTGTAGCTATAGGTGTTCAATTGTTGTTTCTTTTTGGAATGGTATGGTCTCAACTTTTAATTGGAACGGCCAAGGCGTAACTCAGTTAAGGTTTAGCGATTCGGATGTGGATTATTCTAAGAGATTTTAAAATATCGAGAACGTAGCTGTTATCGAGTAATAAAGCCTTCCATTCTGTTCAACAGAATGTAATAATACATCAAATAGTTTCTATTTCCTAACATTCATGTTGC